CTCAATATTCTCTGGCCGAGTGGGGTGTCTCCGATTTGCTCGATTAGGTGGGAAGAAACGCCAGTGATCTGCAAACTGCACTGTTCCAATTTCCACAATTTCCACTGTACAAAAACTGATACAATTATGTACTGAATCTTTTGTCAGACTTCAAAAATATTGGGAACAAAACTCGATATTCTATGACAAGATAAGACGTGTACGATTTGCACGATCAGCTGTAAAGTGTGGCTAGCAAACATTGCTGCTGTATGTAAATTCGTAGAATTATTTACTGAAATCGAGCTGCAGGCATATCAGAAAGCAGCTGATCGTATTTTCACCGCAAAGCGAACCTCTGTCTTCCTCCCAGTCACAGATGAACGGAACATCAATTTCAACTTAATTCGATCAGCAAAAATATTAATGCGGGGAAAGGTAGCTTAAACAGCTGCGAGGGTTAATTAGTACCGAATGAGTCCGTTTACACCCGTCGCGACAGAAGACTCGAGCCAACTTCTTCATTCAGATGCTCGATAAAAATTTAAACTCTCGCCCGCTGTATTTTGCAACGCCGGCGAACTTAATAATATTATAATAAGAAAGCCGGCGGTTTTAAAGAGGCGAGGCGGTTTGCAGAAGTTCCCGGTCGATGCTCTTAATTAAGCTGCTCCTTTACTCCGAAATAAAGTTACGGAACAACTAACTGGCAAACTTGCGCAAGCGATCGAGTGTAAACAACAAGCTGTAATTAAAAATACGGCGAAGGGAGTGGAACTTCTTGAAGAGTCGAACTTCCCCGGAGCGGGTACGGTGGGTGGTAACGCGTAACCCGCCCTCGGCCACGTAACCATGCTCGCAGCTCCCGATTATACCCGCCATTTTAGCTGGTCGCGCCGATCGTTAAGACCCGCATCCACCGGCGAGCCAAACTATGCTTTGCTATGTTAAGCTCGCGTATATTCGCTGTCGGATTCAAACCGTTTTCACCAGAAACTAAACATATACAAGCATAACATGGCTTAGCTTAGCCAAGTTGATGCATCCGAGCATCCGTTCGTGATCAAAGGCCACTCTGTTCAACCGATGATCAAATCATAAAGGCACGAGGATACAAATTAGAGGCGCAACTAGCTGGCCTAATTGAAAACAACGAACGTATGTCCGAAATCGATCATCCTTATCATTCATTCTTCCATTGTGCACTGTTCGACTCCGTATTTTGGGATCGTAGATCGTGTTCAATCTTTAAAGAGTCGGTAAGCCAATGCAATATTGGCTTAAGTCGTGACAGCAAGTTTGCATATACATATAATAATTTAAAGAAAAAGAAGAGAACAAAACTACTGACTTATTAGAGGAAATTTTCCGGCTCTCTACAGAAATAGGGGAAATAGGTTAATACCATTATCCTGTCAAGAAAAAGCAAGTACCATAAGCAATAGCAATGGTAATTCCGTTACTGCCAGCGAGTTTCATCGAGACGGGTGATTAATTCTGACATTCATCTTCCAAGATCAGACCTAACCGGGGCCAGCCTCTGGCAGCTCTTCGTCAGCCTTGCGTTAAAACGCAAATTTAACCAAAGTCCATGTACGAAACTGCACGAGTTCTAGTCACTGGTCGAACGGTGTTTCGCGAGAATGCAGATGCAGTTTGAGGTGGCGCGACTTAACGCGTGCGGCGATTTGCGGTGACGATTTGGTCCGGCGGAAATGTAGGTAGGTAGGTAGCCGGGTTCCTCCGCGGCCGATACCGAAAGGTGGTAGAGAGCCAGAAGCCGAGGCTTCCGAAGCCCTACAACTTCCCCCGTGTTCCCCGGCTCGCTTCCCTTGCACTCCGGCTGCGACGATCTGATCGCTCGATGCACTTTTCTCTTCAACATGCGACGATCCGCGCCGATTCCGCGTGCGCTTGTTCGACGCCCTGACACCGTCGTTACGGGGAAGTTACTTAAGCGCTGAGCGTCGTTCGCCAGTATTGCTTGTCCACGAGAGAACGCTTCAAGCATTACTATAACATGCTGCTGTTGTTACCAACAATTATCTCCGACAGCCGATATCACAATCGTAATTGTTAGTTTTCAATGTCTTGTTGTTAGTGCGTATTTTTGTTTCTATTTCAACAGATTGCCGAACTTTATATGATGTGTCGTTTATTCGTCCTTGTGGTAAATGCATAAATATGTAGCCTAATTATCTGTGAATAATGATCTATAGTAGAAAATAATGAAAGAGCTGAGAAAACTTTCACGGTGCACGGTATTTGTTAGAAACGCTCAGTTTAGGAAGCTTTCGGCTACTCTCGTGATTGTTTCCTCAAGAAACTATGGTAACTTAGGGTAATTTACATCCTATTCAGGGAACGTATACTAAATTTTTCGCTAGAAAATCTGCAAGAGAGGTAGATATGTAATAAAACAAGTCCGATGTGTGTTATTTCATAAGAATGACTTTTACTTAGATTTCTCAACATTTTTGTCGTAATATATGCTCGAAGCAAGAAATTGGTTCAGTCATGTCCTATGAGAGAATCTTTATAAATCTGATCCACTCTGAACGATACAACCCTTCCTCGAGTCAGTATCGCCGAAGAAAACAAACGAATTAGTCATTTGATTCTTTTCCATTCTTATCCGTTGAAACCCGATTGCCCAATGAAAAGGAAAGTAGCTCGTTGGAACGGGATAGTCCGAGTTGTAGAAACATTTTGATCGCGCGGCCCTGGAGCTCGATGATTCGCGGGGTCGGTGTGTAGCGGGTGGCATCGATCAAAGGTTCGATCAACGGCCGTCCCCGAAAATCCGCGGCGAGCCGGCCACTTGCCAGTATTTTTCGCGAGTTTTCCGGATCGTTTGGAGCGCGGGCCCCGTAAAAGCGGGAACGGTTCCGCGAAAATGTTTGCCGGGGAGCCGTTTAAAGCCGCGCTCTAAATAAAACACCGCCGCTGCTGCTGCTGCTGCTGCTGCTGCTAAAAAAAAAAGTTGGATTAAAACAGCAGCGGCCGCGTTTCGCCGAGAGCGGCGGGGGCAGAGGGGGTTCTGAATGCGGGCGGCCGTCGAGTTTACAACTGGAACGGTGGCCGTGTCCGAGGCGTCGAGCGCGATTCAGCCGAACCTGTCTTTCCTCCGAAAAAAACCCGGCAAATGTTTCCAAACCCATTTTATCCAGTCTGCAGCCGCGTAGAAGTGAATCCCATTCTCTTCCCGCCCCCCTTCGTTTCTCCCCTCTCCGTTTCACTCAACCCCCGGCGGTGTGTATTGAGAGGAGAGCGGAGCGTGGCTGCACTTTTCCGTGGCCCCCCTCCTCTCGCTGCTTCGCTGGCCCCCTTGCCAGCCCCCCTTCTCCGGCATCCAGCAGCCGGAAGCCATTAATATCTCCCCGGGCTACTTGGCCCTCGAGCTCAAAGGAATTTCGAGAGTTATGCCTATTAAGAGCGACGCTTGCGTCGCAACAATGACACTCGGCCCCGCTCGTTTAGCCTCGTTATTAAGAGCGAAAATCCGCTTATGGCTGCAGTCTCCGACGAGGATCGCCGCCCCCGGCTGGCCGTACCTGCGGCCGGCGTCGATTCTCGCCCTACCTAAGGTACACCGGTGCAAGCCGTTTTCTCAATGAAAAACGATCGCCGAAGGTGTTCGCCTAAATCTGTTTACAAGCCCGAGCAGATTACCCCGGACGACTGGAGCTGCTGGAATTTGGTTGAGAGCTAGGTTCGGGACGTTATTGAACGCCATCTTAGAAAGACGTCGGGGCCGGTTACATTCGTCGGAACGTTTGCAGTTTTTTGAAGTCGTGCGACGACGTCGTTGCGGCGATAATGAGTCCGGAGAGAGGAGCAGGTTCTCTGTCTGGTGCTTGTCCAATACTACTTATTCACTTGAGAACGATGCTTCCACAGAAGCAACCTCGGATCTGAAACTAACTATTCCACGGTCTACTGTGCTGCGGCTGCTTTTGAACGAGCGATTCTCTGGAAGAAGAAAACTTGCCAAAGTTCAGTGGACGCTGAAGTTGCGACTACTCCCGATAATTGCTCCCCATCAGGGCTGCGTTAAGAATTTCATAGCTGGCAGGCGGTCTTATTTTTAAGCCGATAGGATGTATCGCTGAAGGATCCTCGTACCCTAGAAAACATCCTAGGATATAAAACTGCTGTGCATTCTACTGTTTTAACAGCTACCACTTTCGGACAAGTATCCTATAGAGAAGCACTCGAAACTCTGGTCGATATAGAAGTGGTGACTGACTCTAGATAATAGCTTCCACGAGGGCTATACAATGGGTTCTATAGACCCTGAACTCTGAAGTATCGCTAGAATCAGGCAGACTTTACGAGTGCAAAACTTGATACACAAACGCTATGTACACCTCCGCAGACCCCAAAATTTTAACCGGACCTGTCCTTCGACTGAACTTTTCTGAACTTTTCTGAAACAAAAACTTAAACCTGTTATGAGTGCTACAGCTAAACCTGCTAACGAAAAAGTGTCACTATCATCCCATAACCCGAGAGTACACGCGTGAACTTCTGAAACAAACGTACCCACGTGGGGTGTTCATGGACTCCCAATAACAAGTGACATTTATTAATAATATATAATGTCTCTTTATTAAAATTAGTACAAGATAATAGTATAATATAATTGATATAATATAAATATGAGAACGAGGCAGCCTTGCTATAAATCCTTAACAGAATTATATACTGTTTGCTCTTAGCAATAAAAAAGGTACAAAAGAGTATCTAACCAGATGACATGAACACCCTATCAGACTCTCAATCCAAATGATGTAAAAGATCACAAAGCGTACAAACGAGATAGTCATACAATCAACCCCTAACTGATCAAGTGCTTCTTCAGATCTATATGGAAGAAACATAAAAATTACCACTCTTACTACCGACCTGTAACTAACCCGTAGCTTCCGAAATAAAGCAGCCCGACAGATGCCACACAACCACTCGAGGATTAGAATGCCGAGCTCGGAGGGACTAATCGAATCGTCCTCAATTTTCAGACTAGGCCTGATGTCCTCGCTGATAGCGGGCCGCTACCCCGTCGGAATCGGCGTCGGCGGCGTCTTCTTCCCGTCGACGCTGCAACACCTGCACCAGCAACAACAACACCAACATCATTCCCGGCTAGCAGCAGCGTCGTCAGCGTTGAGCAACGCGGTGCAGGTCACCGGCCAATCGGACATCGTCGACGCCGACGGGATCCGCGGCGTCCTGCCCGGCGGCGCCGGTTGGCCGTTTCCATGGAGGCCGACGCACGGTTTGCAGACGCTCGAGCATCCGTCGCCCAGCGACGTCGTCGGCACCCTCAGCCGCGTCAGTCCCGCATCCGCGAGCTTTCCGCAAAGGGGTGAGTTTGCCCGCGCCGTGAATCGACCTTCTGCGGCCCCCTGAATCGCGTCCCCGCCCGAAATTCCGACGATTTTGATTCCGTTTTGCCGGCCGCGGCGTTCCGCCTCCTGCTCCGGCGGCTCCTCGCCGCTTCGATTGGGTTCGTCCACGGGATTTTCAACCCCTTGCGGTTTCATTATGACGGCTGGGCGTCGCTGTTTCCGGCGTTCCGGCTCGTTTAAATGTTCTCGCATCTCCGCTCTGCTGGGGAGATACGAGAAACAAATTTTTCCCGTGGCTTTTCTGGGATGCAACTCTGCTCGAGTTGCAGTACTTTGATCGCGGAGCTTGTCGGGTTGCTAGAAATGACGATCAGCTGTTGGAAACTGTCGAGTTTAGTTTGTTAGCTTCGCAATGTTGCGCGATCAGACCTTGGAAACTGTCGTCGAATCTGGGAGTTCGGTTTCCTAGGTTTACAACGAGTTGCGTGGTAGGACAGCTCGATTTTTGAGGATCAGACTGCAGATTTTATGCTTTCGCAGAAATTGAAATTAGCAGAGAAAGGAATTACCCTGAAATTGCTCGAGGAAAGGTCGCGTAATTTGCTGAAGCATAACTCGAACTTGATCTATTTTCCACGGTCCGCGCATAGAGCGCAGCAGGCCTAGCGAGGACACAATTATATCGGAAACGCCGTCGACCAGTCAAATCATAAATTTAGGCTAGTCGAGCATAATAGATCTATAAACATTTGCGCGGCGGTTGGCCTGAGTGAAAATTACTGCAGTAAATTGTACAATATTCATCGGCCGAGGATAACGATGGTAGTCTATCGGCGCACAGCGATTCAAAACGCGGAACAATTAACGGAATTGGTTTATTGTTATAACTACATCGATCAAGCTTGCGTGAACACAATGGATTTCGAACCATAGATAATTTCCCAGATCAAGTTCAACTAATACAACGCGTTCGGTCGCTGATGTTTCACGAAAGGAAGGAACTGCGAACGACTCGGTCACCCTTATCAAACAGAGATCAATTTCACGTCTCCCACCATCTCTTCAGCGACCTCGATACTTCGCTCACCGCTTTTACAATGGGGTCTGTTGCCTTGAATAAGATGCGCCTATTATTGCAATTAAGTACTTCGAGCATCGAAGCGTAAACAACGATTATGAATAATAATAAATTTAATATATATCGATAAAAATTTCGATGATGAAATACTTGTATAATCTCGATAGTACGTGAAAAGCCTGGATCGCTTTCGAAAGTATATATATTGTGCAGGGTGACTGAAAGGTATCGGGCTAATAAGATCACACCAGAAAGACCACAAATTCATTCTGATCCACGGAATCGCCTCTCACAGCAACTTCGTAAACAATGTCTCTTCGTTTGCTGAAAAGAACACGTTATTGGTCGAAACATACAAATATAAAAATATATAATAACAGTACAGGTTGGAACGAAGTCGATTGGTTAAAAAACTGGTGAAACTGATTGGTAAATAAGACGAAATTACTTTCCAAGCAGCCCAACAGATACGACAAAATCACACACAATTTGTTAATTCAATCGATGAATAAAAGATGGATGAAGTACGGTCTTCGATGAATCTTTAGCGGATCCTCGACGGAACTGTATTAACGAACGAGGTCGTGTTTTATCGTGTGAGTGGCATGAGAACGATCGTCTCGTTTGATTTCGCTACGCGCCAGGAAAAAAGCGAGCGGCCGAGGGATGTTTTCATGCGAATATGTGGGAGGGCGATGATAGGGCGCGCGTCGCAAGACGAAACAGAGAGAGAGAGAAAGAGAGAGAGAGCGAGCGAGCGAGAGGGAGAGAGAGAGAGAGGCCGCGAAGAGAACGAAGCGGTGCGGAGCGGAGCGGGGAGGAAAGGGCAAGGCGAGGGTCTATGCACGTTATACACGTAAGTGTGTAAACGCGAGCGTGGACGGCGGGCAGTACGGCTTCCACGGCTTCCACCACGACAAACCAACGTCGATCGCCTTACCCGCCGATCGTTTTACTCCTGCCACTTCGCCAAAATACTTGGCTGCCTGCTAGTTCGCCGCCCGCCTCGCACTTAGAGGGTAAACTATTGCAGCCGGAGTTGCGGGGATAGTTCGTCACTTTGTCTAGGGAGAGAATTCCCTCTGCCTGTTTGTCAACTTCACGCTGCCACCGGTGGCTCACGATGTTTGCTGTTGTTTGCGTCTGACATCGACCCTCCCGAAGCTTCATAAATGTGCTCGGATCTCTTCTAGAAATTCAGCTTACTCGACCTAATCGTTGCTCGCGTCTTTGCTCCAGCAATCGCGAACACGTTCGAATTCAATTGCGCTTTCTGCTCAGTCGAGATTCCCACAAATGCATGGAAATCTGACGATCGTGTGGTAAATCTCTTAATCGATGTACAAAAAGATCGGTCATTGAAGTAATCTTCCTTGTTTAGAAACTAGATTGTTTCGCTGTGACGAATTCATCGATACATTTTCGTACATCTTGAATATGATCGAATCGCCTATCCGATATATGGTGGTGTAGCGATCGGAACAAGCAATAATCAGTACTTCCAATACCCGGCAAAGTAACTATTCAGCACGATATTGCGACGGTTCGGTTCATAATTTAGCTGACAATGGCTCTCTCGCGCTTCTTCGTCGAACGAGTTCGCGAATCGCATTCAGCGTTTGTGAAGTTCCAAAGTCCGCATTCTGGACTGATCTAAATCGCTTCAGTCAGCATTGTGGGATCAGCAACTTCTCTAAAGAGCCTTCAGTGGCCTGCTTATGCCCATCAATTGCATTTCATTCACCGGCTGTTTGTTGCCCTGCGAGAGCGAACTTTGGAATCGATTGAACCCGCATGGAAATGTAACAAAATGGAAAACGGTCGCTTGGAAATCCAGTCTGGCAGGATAACAGTGTTTTCTATGTCGCGTCGGCGCGATTGATAGGCAGCGAGACAATAGACTCGCCGAATACAAGAATTTACAACGAATTACAACGGACGCGGTGTGGGAGGAGGGGGGTCGGCGCGGATTTCGCGTGGAAGGCGTGAAGAACCGGCGTGGAAACCGCAAATATTTCATCGAGTGATGGAACACGTTTCCCTCCGGCGCGCAATCCAAAGCAATTATGTCGAAATGGATAGATAGATTATTAATTAGCGGACTATCAATAGACTACATATACATTAAACGTAACGCCGCGGGAGATGAATAGCTAGCCGTTAATTTATCGAATCCGTGGTCCTCTCCGCTTCGGTGCCGCGCGGGGCGAAATTTATTTATCGATGCCCGAAAGAGGTCTCCAGCACTGATCCCATCGGCGAGCCGCAAGGAACGCATTAAAGCGCCGGCTAATTAATGCATTTAGCATGGCCGACCGTTCCGCAGCATCCAGCAGACGAAGTGAATGCCAGCGATTTGCGGAATCACGGCTATGCCTTTGCATTGTCGCTCGCTAACTACCCCGCTAAGACGGGCGTCATCCGATTATACCTGCGCTTCGCAATCGAATAAACCGGTTAATCCGCCTTATCAATTTCTCCCGGTAACGCGCGATTACGAATCCACGCGGCAGTATTAGTTCATGATCAACGTCACATTAGAGTATTTTGGGATGCAAGAATATATTTCTACGAATCTGTTCAAAAATATTGACGATGTTAATCATTCCCTTCAAAACGATGCAAGGAAGTGCACTTTAAATCGCATAGTACCTCGGCAGAATCTCGATAGTTGCATTCTCAGTCGGGGCGGAAACAACCGATTCCTATATGGGATTGCCAGTAACCTCACAAAATTTTTAATTTGTGTTTTCTGCGAACTTGTAAATAAATAATAAATAATAATAATAATATATAATATATGTTTTATTATATTTTGAAAATAATAAATAATATTTTAATCATCAAGATTTTGTTTTCGGTCGGTCGCAACCTCGCAATATTACTTATTTCGCAAAATAGAAAGGGGGTTGTCTTAGGGTTAAATCTGTTGAAAAATATGGACAAAAGCGAATCTAGGTATTTTGATAGCATAATCATCGTGATGAATTCCTAAGAGTTAATCCACCCCCTGCATAACGAAAGGAGTAGAGACTACACGGTGCGTCCACAGAACCTCGATACTTGCACTTCCAACGAGTTTCGGTGCAACTATCGAGGCGCACCGAGGATGTGCGAGGTCTAGCCGATCTAACGAACTCGTTGACTCTGCGCAGATGACCTTGACGACGAGAACGGGGAGGACCGTCTGCATCGGACGCGGAGTCCGTCGACGGGCGACGAAGGGCACGACGACCTCGGCGACCAGGACGACTGTGCGGACGGGGACGGCGAAGGGGAGTCGACGAACTCGACGAGCCTGCACGGGGGGAACGGGTCGGGGAACGGCGGTGGCGGTGGTGGCGGAGGTGGCGGCGGCGGTAACGGGCAGAACAGCGTGCAGGTCGGTGTGGACGGTCGCGATTCGGGCAGCATGAAGCGGAAGAAGAAGACGCGCACGGTGTTCTCGCGGTCGCAGGTGTTCCAGCTGGAGAGCACGTTCGACATGAAGCGCTACCTGTCCTCGTCGGAGCGGGCCGGGCTGGCCGCGTCGCTGCGGCTGACCGAGACCCAGGTGAAGATCTGGTTCCAAAACCGGCGGAACAAATGGAAAAGGCAGCTGGCCGCCGAGCTGGAGGCGGCGAACATGGCGCACGCGGCCCAAAGACTGGTCAGGGTGCCGATTCTCTACCACGAGGCCTCCGCCGGGACCGGAAGCTCCGGCGGCGTCTCGGTGTCGGTCGCCGCGCCGCCGACGGTCACCGCGCCAGCCTCGGTCGCCACGTCGGCGCTCTCGCATTCGGTCGGCGTCGGCGTCGGCGTCGGCGTCGGTGTCGGCGTCGGCACCTCCTGCCCCCCAACCACCGCCCAGCCGATCTTCTACTCCCATCACCATCAGCACCACCATCATCATCCGGCTCACGTGCAGGCGCACACTCTCCTGCCCCACCAGGTACACCCGCAACCTCCGCCACCCCCGCCGCCGCCGCCTAACGGACAACCACCCCAATCCTCCTCGCAATAACACCGTCCGGCTCACGAGACCGTCGGCACGCCGCCGCGACCAACCATCATCGCCGAGAGAAACGTCGCGATTGCGCGACTATTACCCACGATCGTGCTCTCCGGGTGAGCCAACGATGACTGCTGGACGGCCCTCGATGATCCGCTCGACGATCTATTCGATGATCCAGCCTCGGTGATCCCTGCAAGATTGCACAGTTTCCGATTCTCCTTTTTTCGCAAGATCGCCGAGACACGCTAGCGAGTAGTGGACGCTCGTCTACACCGGCTAACGAATCGGTGAAAACTGTGTCTTTCTTTTCTGCCTTTTCCGTAGAGCACCGATGATTTATTTTAGACTGCGGAATTTTCCGGACCTCGTACCTAGACTGCGGATTTTATGTCACGAGATTACGTGCGAAACGCTAGAAGCATCTGAAGAATATTAGTTCCTGTATATTACAAACGATCCGGACAGTCTCCATTCCTCATAAACATCTGCATGTCTTCGAGAAATAAAGAAACTGCAAAAGAGCATAAAATTGGCCCCTAGTGTCCCGCGAGTCGGGAGATGTTCGGGAGAATACATAGAATTAAGCTCTGCCTAACTTTGATTTTGAGAAGTTTTGAAATTTCGCAGTCTATCAGTTATCCATCGGAAGCAGTCCATTTGCAACATGTCGACAGTTCATTTGAATACGGGTACGCAATCGAATCCTAGACAACCCGTAACGAATTAAATATACAGAAGATATGTTGGTATTTTGGAATTAGCGATCGTTGGAATTAGTATGTTATGTTGGATCACCGGCCGCGAGCGGGTCTTCGAGGTCCCCCAGAAGCCATCCAGGCCGACTTCCGGCAGCGAAGCGTCGCGTGAACCAATCTATTTTTCCCCCGAAACGGTTGCAATACGTCTGTCCCTTATCCGACGTGTTTTCTTTCGACGAAGGTAGCTTTAACGAATCGCGGGAGGAAGCGTTCTCCTCGGATGGTTGTGTTTGCCGCGGCCCGACGCGACTGGCGACTTCCGGCAAGTCGAGAATTGTAATATAAGTATGTATCTAGTCTGTCACTGGTCGATAAGAAAACTGCTCGTGGAACGATTTATCGAGATATTTTGGTGGAATAGCGCGGGACAAGCCACGGTTCCGCATTTCCTCTTTCTCATTCTCTCTCACTACTTTCTCTCTAATTCTCTACCACTCCCTCTCTCTCTCTCTCTTTCTTTCTCTCTCTCTCTCTCTCTGTCTCTCTTTCTCTATCTTCCTCCGGCAATATTTATTTTTCGTTTACACGTTTCTGTTTCTTTTAGATCCGCGCGTGAAGATTATTCCCACGATCGAAACCGGATCGTCACTTTCTAATCGGGGACGTTGCAAAAGCGAGAAAAAACAAACGAGTAGAACGAAAGAGAAACGAACACTGGTCTGTCTCACTCTTGTAAAATGTAATAACGCGTCTGAGGAAACCAAGAAAAAACACTCACAACACATACGTACGTACATACATTACATATACACGCACGCACACACGAGAATTGTAAACTAACTGTTAGGATACACCGTAAGACACAAGGCAGGGTTCCTACGACATGTTCTACCTGTTGTGATAAGTATCTTAAACGATTAATTTTATTAAAACGAACGGTAGAGTTGTGAGAAAAGATACGCAAAAAAAAGACGATCGAAATAAGAGAAAACTGAACAGGAAAAAGAGTAATGAAGAGAAACCAAATGAAACCAAACCGGCTCCTTGCATTGTATACCACAGAAACACCACACCTTGATTCTATAGACGTCAATTAAGGACACACGCCTGTCGCGCCCGTGTTTTGTACGGACTTATTTGTGATCCGAGATCTCGAACTATTGTACAGCCGATCGTTTCGTAATCGCTAATAATGATCGTTGAACCATACTCTGGACGTCTTTCAGAATCCTCCCTGTCGACCTCATTCCACCCTTATCACCTGGCCACGTCGCAAGCAAATTATCTCACAGCCATTCGAAATCAAACCGATACGGCATAGCCGGTGAAATCTCTGCCACTAAGAAAATAAATATTTAACTCATTCCGCTTTCCACAAACTAGTCTGTCGAAACAGAAGTTTGCGAAACGGTCCAAAGCACACTTATAAAAGGTCTCTTCTGATCGAAGAAGTTAACGACCGCGAGATTACCATAAATCGCAAGAATTTGCAGCGACGTGATCAGGTCCCATCGTCGGCGACGAGATTCCACAACAGACTCGATTGATCAACATTTCCCGGAAACGTCGGAATCGTTTCTAATCCAGAGGGCATCCCCTATCCGATCGGTGGCATAAATTCCAAATATCAACAGTCTGCGAGGATCCTCGACGCGACGAACACGCCCGGGTACCGTCGCTTCTCGACAAAGTTAACCGTTGATTTCCCGGTAGATCGCCGATGTAATTGAGTCGTCGCAGAGTGGAAAGTGATCATCGATTGGTGCTCCACGCTCTCCGCGTTCTTGTGTTCTATATTTTCCTCGGTTACAAACGGTTTACGTGTCGCCGCGGGACGCGAGTGTTTATGGGGGAGAGACTGAAGGGTGCGACGGTTTTAAGAAATTAAGGACTCCGCTGTCTGATTCCCCGGAATATTTCCGTTTTCTCCAATTAACCCCCTGAGCCACGCCTTTCCTCTTGGCACGATTTTCTGTCCATTTGTCTCCTCGATTTCTGCGATATTCGTGCCACCGTTCGAAATTATCGTTGACACTGGGTGATCTTTGTGGTTCGCTTGAACGCGGACGGTAAATGAATTCGTAGCTTCGATATTTGTATCAGCGTTGGTTCAAATCATTTCGCAAGAGGTCGAATAGTTAATTCTATGTCGAAGGAAGCAGATCTTGAAAGCATCCATAAATTGAATTCATCTTAAAGCCAAGGTTTACAGTTGTATGGGAGGTTAAGATCGATGCTCGACCCTTCACCCTCTCCGTCCATCATTGTTCGACCCTGTCAGGACCCTCGGATCAACTACAAATTCGCGAAGACGCCAAAGTAGACGAAAATTTGTAAGACACGTTCTCCGAACAGAAAAATCAACTTTTATACATTGTAGTTAATATAATAATTAACGAAGTGTGCCGTATTTGAGATCACAGCGAAAAACGATGTCTTTCTAAAAAGGGATCAATTTTATTCGTTAAAGAAGAAAAATTAATGTATTCTTGCTTCCTAACTATAATAAAATCAACAGAATAGAACACTCTATTGCATAACAATCCGTCGCAAAATACAATAAAATGAAATTATGAAACACTAACGGATCAGTGTTTCGCTGTTCTTTTGTTTTAGAGCAAACATAATCTGTTCTTCTAAAAAGATACGTTGTTTCACGATACGATTTCGAACATGGCGTAGTTCGTTTGTTATAATATCAACTTCTACGTATGAAAACTGAAAACTTTTGGATGTGGTTTTCTAGTTATGAGACGCAGCGTAGAGCTGTGAAACCGGGAGAATTTCGGGATCTTGCCGGTGCGTAGAATATAGAAGAACGATCCGAGGGTGGCGGGGGTTGAGGATTCGTTCGATATCGGTCAGGGAGCATCGGGCGAGCTGCAAGTCGCCGTGAAGTGTGTGTCACGCGTGTCATTCGGAGCGGATCCGACCGATTCATCGTCGCTTTCGATTCGAGTCGGCTCGGTCGAGGCGAGGAGGCGCCATTGGTGTCGGGCGACCACGAGGGAGCACGGGCTGACAATGCTCGCTGCACCGCCACGTTTTCTGCTGCATCCGCATACACACGGGCCGCATATCCGAGTAAGTACGCGCACGTAAGTACGTGCACTTCAATCATCGTTCTCACAGGGCGACGCGCGCCATCGCGCCTTCGCCTCTTTTTCGCCTCTGATCTCTCCACGAGCCTTTCATCCGTCGAGCGATTCCATCCACCTCCGACCCTCCGCCCTCTCAACAACCACCCCCTTAACACTCTCCTCCTCCTCTCTCTCTCTCCTCTCTCTTTCTCCTCTACACTCTCACCTCCCCCCTACGTTTTAGTTTTATTCCGGGCTCCGCTGTCCTTTCTTCGCCGCCCTCTTCGCACCGTTTACCGTCTTCCTTTCTGCGGACCAACCCCCCTTGCGAACCCCAACACGCGCGCGGTGCCCTTTCGCCGCCCTTAGGGACTCGATCATATCGGGGCTACTGTCTACGGCTCTCTCTGAACCTATGCCTCTCTGCCACTGTCTGATGCAGCGGTCTCGTTTGAACAGATCCTTGCCACGGCCCTTTATCGACGACGCGATGGAAATCGGTTACCAAGACCGGGGTAGTTCTGCTTGTTCTACTGGCGCAACGTTCTTTCAGAAGACTCGGTTGTGGAGCCTGTTGTCGCGCAAGTCCTGTCGCGTGTGCTTTTACACCTCGCCCGGCGAACGTTCCGTCAGATCGATCAAGGACATTTCGATCTATTCAATGACAACGCGGACTTTTATTGCTAAATGAAAATTGCCTGCATTCGTTGCAAGATACAGAAGCGTCATACAGCCGCGCAGTGCACGGTTCTTATGAATGTTCGAGACAAAACCTAAACTAAATGGATCTTCAGCATAAGCACCCTAACACTTTTTTTTAAAAAGAAATACACGGATGCACCGATTAGCAAAAAAAATATTCAATTGTATTTTTTACAATATATTAATTTCTTTACAATATTCATTATTGAATTTTTTTTTTAAATTAAGCACTGATTAACTTTTATCTGACAAAATTTTATATGTACCTGTTTCTATGTATATAACAACATTATAGAATATCTGCATTGAACTGTCATATTATTATTTTCTCGCTCGGAACGGATAGCTATCGAATCGCATAGGTTGGAAATAATCTAAGTCGAGAGCTAACGGGCGTATGCTTCCACTGCAAAGTATTAATAGTTACTGCATAACATGAAGTACCGCGAGTCTTGCGAAAGAGAGAACAATTTGAAAAAAAAGTAGCAGATTCGCGTCTTCGAGTAGAACGTTCGCAGAGCATTTCGGTGAGTGAAAATGAGCAGCAGCGGGTAATCGTAAGTGGTCGATCGACGATTAATAAGCATTAACGAGTCGGGAGATTGCCGTCTGGGGGAAAGGTCGTCCAAAGAGGAGCAATGGAACAGAATCGCATCGAGGCGCAACGATGTCGAAGATATTAGCGACGCGCGGTCGGGTCGGGCGGGGTAGATTAAACGCGGCTCGACTGATTAAACATGATTTATATCAACGTTAATAAACGATGACATTGGATATTTAAAGCGACTCATTAACTCGGTAATTGCGATGAAAAGGATGTTACTGCCGGTGGCGAGGCAGAGGCGGGTTTCGATCGATCGATTTCAATATCGTCCCTTTTCTTCCGTCATTACCTTCGTTGCGGAACAACGTTTTCCTATCGCTAACAAGCCGATCGGAAAATTCAGCCGTTCGTCGATATCGTTTCTATCAAAAAAAAGGAGGAGAAAAAAAACGAACCGGAGAGACGACAGAAGGAAGAAACTATTTCTTTCCATGCCATTCAACGCGAAAAGGAGGGCGTGCATCGCGAGCATGCTAACGAACCACGAATTCCTGCTATCCGATGACGAACGCTGCTGGAGGAATTTATTCAGATTGAACGTGTAACTTCGATGCCGTGTTACTGTATCGAATAAATGATCGATTCGCGGCCAGACGGAAGCCCGGAGGACTGATCGGAAGGAGCACGTTGCTGAGCGTGCTACGATAAACGAGATGGATCGTTATCGTGCCTTGATCAATCCTTGCCGAACCCTGAAGAAATCATTGTTAACGAATTACGAGTCTATTCGACTCGCCAGCTCAATCTGTGTTGATTACTAGACTGTGAATCTTTCTTTATGCAAAAGAAAAACATCCTGCATCGATAATAAGAAACAGAAATGAAATAAACATAAATTGTTTCTTCTAATATAATAATTCTGTTAAACTGTAATTAAACTGCGACTTTAGCGTCTACACAATTTCCAAGAGCAAGAGGCCAAACAAAATTCCTTCCTTCAACGATTTCGAAAAATTGAAAATAATATAGAGACTGTCTGAAATTCTTTTTATCTTTTCACTGTTTTAACTCCCAGCTACTTATTTTTGTCACAAAATCTACGCAATCCGCAGTCTAACAATAAAAATTCAAGCTCCCATTTTCATAAATTGTCGAGTCAGCTATCCGCCGGATTGAAGACAAAATTTCTGAAATCAAATTCGAGTATCTATCTTGGAAACGGTGCAGTAACAAGAGACATCAACGACGAAATCGTTCAGCCATATTTCAACCGTGTTCAGCTGGCATTCAACGCCTCGTTTCTTAATTACCGTTAAAACGGAGCCATCCAGTAGACGTGCGGAAAGATCCGTGCACGTTTTCCGCGTCGCTTGACGATTGATCGAGCGCGCGCGCGTTACGTCGATCCTCGCACCTTTCCGAAATCCCAGGGGCACCCATCAATTAGCCTCCGTTCCCGGCATCCCCCAGCCGAGAGCCAAGAGATCTCTGTTACTCGAAAAACCGTGTTGAGATCCTGTTTGCCGGGAATCGAAAGTTCACCGGCTCATTGTCCGCTGCAATCTAGAGTCGAGTTGCACTCCTCCCCCGTTTTCCCGCGCGCACCCCCTCCGGTCGCCAGCCGGGGGTAATTTAACACGTAAGGGGATGACAACGGTCTGGAAGCCGGTGTCCTTCGAGGTCTCGTAAGCGGCGATCGTGTTACACCGGTGAATTCACAGAAATCTTCCGAGGAATCTATTCTTCGGGCTACACCCTTCGGTGATTGGTCTCATTACTCCTGACCCGCGTTAAGCTTCTTTCGAATTTTCTCGCTGGGGAGGGGATAGAGGGGTGCGAATAGAGAGGGGGCAGCAAGGTGTGGAAGAAGGGACGGCCGGGGGTAGGCGTTTAGAAAAGCCGGTTGTGAATTATCGAGGTGAGATAGATTTTTTGAGGGGTGCGCCGAGAGCCATGAATGAGATTTGCAGAACCCGCCCCTGTTTGCAGTGGCGAGGAGGGTGAGGACTCTTATAATTTCCTTTATTAAGTGGGGAATTAGTGTTGTAACTGGATCGCAGGGCTTGCGAGCATAATTTTCTGCTGATATTATAGTTGAGAGGAAATCTGCTCGGTTTTAAACAAGCTGAGAGTTCTCGGCAAACATTTGCTGAACGATTTTTGTGAACCCTTATGTCAATGAACGGGTAGCGTTTTGCACATTCACTTGAAAATATTTTTTTTTCTCGATAAAAAATTTCAATATCCGAATAGATCGTCGTTATTTGGCATATTTCCTATCGATATCTGTTTCGAGTCTACAATTTTGTTATTGGAAACGTACTAAACTTGGACGATAAAGTTTGATATACATTTGTTTAATAATCGGAGTATCCGGGTACTCATATAACATGATAGAATAACATATAGAAGAAGAGAATAAGGGGTGCAGAAAGGAGTAGAAATTCTTCAATCTTGAAAACAATGCTTTATCGTGGTAAATAAAAATAGATATGAAATAAATAAAAATGAATGTTTATGTAATTATATAAAAGTTAAACAAAACAGTAACGACGTCGACAATTTTGGTTATTGATGTAAAGGTTAAATTGAATGTACAACATTCGGGTAGTCCATTTTTGTAACAGCACGGTCACTTAGTTGCAGCCAGAAATTTAAACGGTGCTAACAGATCATTAATAACGAAAAATCAACAGAGGTTTAGATGGAGTCGATATCCACGAGTACACAAACTCCAATTAATGGTGAAACTCTCTGCAAGTGGTCGTGTAAGCCCCGAAGGCACTTAAATAACAATCTCGCCCGTAGCTCTAACTTCCGTTAACGAGAAATTTACAGCAACATCAGAGTAAACCGTTGACTGAATACAAATTAGTTCTACACTTGCTCGAAGAAGTTACTCGCAAAAATAGCCCTGAATCTATCAAGCCTTAAAACCCTTGGCACTCGACAGATTTTTCCGATGTACCTACCAGCAACTCTTAGCAAATTTTGCAAAAATTGTGATTTTGCTGTACGAAGTTGAATGAAAATAAAAATCATTATACTGCTGTGACATTTTACAGGAATTAATAAATAAAAGATTTTGCGTTTTTATTTATGTATTTTACATGATTACCTTACGGTATGAGAACAGAAATATTAATTTAAAAAAGAATACCACACTTTAAGGGTTAAAATAATATGTTGCGATTCAGCATAAGTAAGAAGTTTTGCGACGTAGAAACCGGAAAAATCGAGCTGCACAGCCAAGAATTTAAACAACCCCAGATTTCCAGCTTGGACAGCAACATTCAAGGTTCACCATAAGGCTAACCATCCCGGATTCGAGCGCCAAAAGACCATAGAACAGCCCATAAACAAGCCCCGCGCTCGACACGAGAATTCCCCCCGGTTTATTTTCCCCTTGAACGAGCCATTCTATCTAGCTCGTTGTCTCCCAACAAATCTCATGATCGATTCGCCATCAAAACACGGTCGAGCCCGTTTCCCGCGAATAATACGCGAATTTCCGGAGCCACGGGGGTCCTCGACCCCCCATGTCGACGACCCCCTCGTCCTTCGTCAAAGAAGACCGAAAAAAGAAAGAAATCAGTTAATTCCTAATGGCTCGAGGCTGGCGACACAAAAGGGATCCTCCGGGTCGTTAGTAAATTAAACGAG